GCAAGAGTGCGGAGGAGTCGAGATGAACCTCCTGACCCGGCCAGCGAGACTGAGATGGGATGCAGGGGCTATGAGAAGAAAGAGAACACCGGAGAGTTCAGCCAAGCAGAAGTGGAGTATGACTGTTTAGGTATTCGTGAAATTGAAAATGATTGTAGCAGATGGTTTCAGTCATAAAATGAATGGCTTTCAGCCTTAATTATACATTTTAAATGCCAGCGACAATTAAATAATTAGCTTTATCACTGGTTACAGTTAGTTTTCAGATTCCCAGACCCATTTTGTGCCTTAGAAGCAGTTTTTTACTCATTTGCGTACTATTTTAATGGTACTGGGGAAGCCAGCTGAAGAGGCTCAGCCAATCCTGTGTCAGGCATGTTGATAAAATGAAACCCTTTTTTACCCTCTGAAGCCAGCGTTTCTAACTCAGAGGCTTTCCTCTTGACTCACGTCTGTATGATGCGTGAATTTGTGCCATCTGAGGTATCTGGCGTGAACACATTTTTTTGAATCTACTGAATTGTTAGGCAGATTTTGCAGCTGTGTGGTAGAGGCCCAGCTGAAAATATTTTGGTGAAATTTAGAATAAGACAAAGAGGGATCGTTGGTGAAATTCATCGGGCACAATTTTGACTCATCCTGGATGTGCCTGATTAGTGGGAACGGTACCACGTTGCCACAGCTGGCCAGTCATAACTCCGTGCTTTACAAGTGTGTGGTCTGGGTCGTGGTGCTGACCTAGCAGGATACCTTACACAGAAGAGACACATGATAAACCAGTTTTCGTATGATTGGGTTGGAAGGGGTTAGTTTTGCGGCCTGTGGGCTGTGACAGAGTGTTGTGACCCAGAGTCTTGCTGTAGATAGTTTGTGCTTCTCAGGGGAAGCATCAGCCTGTTTCATAACTGCACTAAGAACTTATTAATATTTAAGTAGGTTTTTTAAAACCAGCCATGGAATTATTTTTAAATGCCTGGATAGAAAAAAAGNTATGAATTCAATCCTTACGACAACCCTGTTAGGCAGTTGTCAGTTTTATTTATGAGAAAATAGCAGCTAAGAGGGAAAAACAGGCCGCTGGGCACAGAGCTGGTGATAGAGTCTGCGTTCAATCCCATGTGCTGTGGGTAACAAAGCCAGTGCCTTTTGCATCATGTATGATTTCAAACAAAAACACCTTGTCATTCATTCTGCGAATATCCTTTGAGCACCAGTGATGCTGGGCACTGAGAAAGTTCTAGTGAAAATGAGGAATTGTATGAATGTCGTAGGCATCAAAACCTGGCGCGTGATATATTCTAGCAACAACAGGGTGGGTTGTTGGGACCCATGGAAGGGTGCAGGGTCCATATCATGAAGTGCTGTAATGTTGTGCCAAGGTGTTTATCTTCAGCAAATACTGTTAAGCAGGGAGAGTGATTGATCGCCGTAGGTTTTAAAAGTGCACTCGAGAACAAAAGAAAGGAAAGCAAAGTGGAAAGATGGGTTGAAAGGACTGGGCTGGCGTGGGGGGTCGACCAGGAGGCCAGGTTACTGGTTCAGATGAGGGCTGCAGAGCATGGGGACCAGAAGATGCCAAGAATCCAAGACTAGGTGGAGTTTAGAGAAAGTGAGGGAGTGCAGTGGTTTCCCAAACAGCACGTTGTTAGCTTAAGCATGAGAGGAAAGGATGGAGGTGGACGGTCGATGGCAACAGTGGGGACAAGAGAAGAGAGCTGATCGACTTTTATCATAAAGACCTTGATGGNGAAGCCAGCGTTTCTAACTCAGAGGCTTTCCTCTTGACTCACGTCTGTATGATGCGTGAATTTGTGCCATCTGAGGTATCTGGCGTGAACACATTTTTTTGAATCTACTGAATTGTTAGGCAGATTTTGCAGCTGTGTGGTAGAGGCCCAGCTGAAAATATTTTGGTGAAATTTAGAATAAGACAAAGAGGGATCGTTGGTGAAATTCATCGGGCACAATTTTGACTCATCCTGGATGTGCCTGATTAGTGGGAACGGTACCACGTTGCCACAGCTGGCCAGTCATAACTCCGTGCTTTACAAGTGTGTGGTCTGGGTCGTGGTGCTGACCTAGCAGGATACCTTACACAGAAGAGACACATGATAAACCAGTTTTCGTATGATTGGGTTGGAAGGGGTTAGTTTTGCGGCCTGTGGGCTGTGACAGAGTGTTGTGACCCAGAGTCTTGCTGTAGATAGTTTGTGCTTCTCAGGGGAAGCATCAGCCTGTTTCATAACTGCACTAAGAACTTATTAATATTTAAGTAGGTTTTTTAAAACCAGCCATGGAATTATTTTTAAATGCCTGGATAGAAAAAAAGAAAAAAGAAAAAAACTTGATAAATTTTAACATTTTTATCTAATTTTAAAGAACTACTTATCTTTGCATTAATACCAAAGCAGGTGGATTGTGTGATATTTCTGAAGGATGGAAACTGTTTCGTGGTGCCAATACTAATGGATTTTTAAAAATTAAACCATTGAGATTTAGACTTTTCTGTGTATCCTGGAATCTGTTAATAAGTCAGTTTTCATTAAAGCAGGAAATAGGGAAGGGAACAAACATTTATGAATGCCTTCTGTGTTGCCAGGCCTATTTTAGGCACCCTACAAGTATTCCTTAATCATAGGAAACGTCCCCATTCTTCAGCCACTTTACAACTGAAGAAACTGAGGCTCAGAGATTTAATAACTCAGTCAGTCCTGTGGTTCAGAAGCCCGGGGTAGAGCCAGAATTCCCACTGCCTGTCCACTGCGCTGCCGCTCAGCGGCGAGCACCCCCCCCCATACGCGCCTTGAGGGAAAATGACATTAATAATCTCTTCCAATCCTTTTTCTCTTCAAGAATGACTCATTTTTGCTTTAATACAAAAGCAGGTGGATTGTGCTGTTATATTTCTGAAGGATAAGAAGCTGTCCGTGGTGCCGGTACTAAGGGATTTTTTAAAATTAACCCAGTGAGCTTTAGACTTGTCAGAGTGAGACTTGCCCTTTGGCTGTGAGGGACGAGAGTCGCGGCGGGCCCTGCAGAGGGCGAGTGGGGGGAGCTGCCTGGAAGGAGGCGAAGCCAGAGCGGCTCTGCCAGGCCGCAGGGTCTTTGCAGAACATTTAACACACTCCACTTCTAGGAAGGACTTACCGAGTCCTTGAATTCGTGTTCAGGAGCTGGGTCGTTCACTTGGGGAGTAGATGTATTGGTGATGACTTAAAATCGCATTGAACAGGAAGGGACCATACGCTCCTAACGACCGTCAACCGTGTTCTGTTTCAGCTGCGATACCAGAAGTGCTTGGTAGCCAGGCCGCCTTCGCAGAAAGTTCGACCGCCGCCTCCGCCAGCAGACTCGGTGACCAGAAGAGTCACAACCAATGTAAAACGCGGGGTCTTATCCCTCATTGACACTTTGAAACAGAAGCGCCCTGTCACGGACACGCCGTAGCGCGTGTGCCGGAGGGATCTGTAACCGTCGCTGAAGGTGGGCAGCTGCCCGCAGAGTGACTGTCGCCCGGCCTTCCAGTCAGTGCTGATGCCTTGTCTTCAGAGAACTTACCCTTCGCCAAACAGTGTTAGACAAGCATGTTCTCTCGTCTTGCCACCATCATGTGATATGAAAAGAAGCATGACTACTTTTTTTGCCGTAAGTTACATCATGAGCGGTGGAAGGTCTCCCTCACTGTAAATATCGTGACCGTCACTTACTCACACACACGCAGGTGGCCTCGGCCTCGGAGGGGATGGCGCCGCCCGGGTCAGGTCGCCGGCTTCTCGACTGGATCTGTCACAGGCGGCGTTCAAGTCCGACAGCGCTTTGCCCTGTTTTCGACGTCGGAGGAGACGCTGCACACCAGATCCCATTGAGATGCTGTAAAAACGGGGTGACGAGTCCTTGTTTGAGTTCAGTTCGTAAAATTGAACCTTTTGGTTGACAAAATTGGCTACTGGCATCGGTATGGAAACCAGCGGGCAGCTTTCCCTGGCGAGCTCTTTGACACAAGGACACATTTCATGTCTTCAGCTGTTTGCGGGGTGTTGGGGAAAAAAATGAAACTTCAAAATTGGAAACAAACCAAATTTCAGAAATTAAAATCCAACAGAAATCACCTTTCTTTTCAGATGGTGTTCACACTGATTAAGAAAAAGCAAGAGGTTAACAAAATCATCATGCATTTCGGGTGGGACACGTGCAGACGTCTGCCTTACACTGTACAGCGCGGCTAGGGAATTAGTCACTGCGGCCATTCTCGGCATAAACAACATTCAGATGACGTGTTCCTCGCCCGCCTTCCATCCTTAGTCTGGTAATCAGCCAATATGCAATTTGGAGTTAAGGAAATGCCATTTATATTTTATATCGTCACCACCACGTTCTTTTGCTAGACCTCCTCCTAAGTAAACGTCTGCTAGGATTCCACGTCTAGCTCAGTCTTACCCTAAATGCTTTTTGCAAAAAGGTGTCCGTCCATCATGTATTTTCCATGGCAACAAATTACATTAAATTGGACCTTTCTTGAACTTCTGTACTTACCGTTAGAATTTGTCCGACTCCACTAGCTATATTTTTAAATTTATATTTTTTCCGTTATATTTTCAAGATTTAAAAATTTCATATCAGAGCAGAATGTACGTAAGGACAATGCGCTATTTAACAAGTTTCCCAAAACTAGTGGTTTCCTGCTCTCTCTATAGATATGAAACTTAGCTGTAAGACACAGGTTTAGACCCTTGATAACACTGTTTCAAAAGGAATTTGCTAAGGAGATCAGTCCAAACATTCATCATGTTTACTTTTTAATGTCAAAATCAACATTTTACAACATCCAGTGATAAAAGGAACTGCTTTCTGTGTATCCTCTGCTGTGTGCCTGTCAGTTGGTTTCCACATTCTTATCAACATTTGAGCCTTATAAGGTAGTGAAGGTACTGTAAGGTCCTAAACACATTTGAGAAATACAAACATGAAGTACCGAGAGGCTCAGTCACCTGGCCTGAGGTCTGATAAAAGTTAGAGAGAAAAACCAGGATTAGGACCCACACTAAGAGATCATGATTCTCTTTCATCTTGAGCTCCACAGTGAGATGTTGTATGATAAATAAAAAATTCTGAACGAATCCACTTTCGTACTGGAAATCTCTCCCAGAACCCCCTGTTCAGTTTTAAGACATATGTTTGTTTTCAGGATCAAGCGTACTGAGCTAGCTTTAAGTAGCAAACTGATTTATATATGCAATTATAAGATACATTAAGATGAATGACAACAGCCTTTACATATTGAAAACTTTACTGCGGATACTCTGTTTTGAAGATACTAAATGCGGTTAACTTTGTAAAGTTACTTATGTTAAACACTATATTCAGACACTTTTCTGCCATGGCCAAAAAGTATGTACGAATGTGTGTGTTTTGCAAGGATGCCGGCGTTCGACCTGATGTTGTAGCGACACCTCCGTTATCTATGCATTCTTTATATCTGTGATTCTGCAAACAGGCAGCCATGTTCACTATGCCTTGTATGTCTTACCATTTTTTTAATTAACCTGTTAAATACAGCTTAAAATATTTTTATTTATTCTATTTTTACTGAAATATACTGCATTATTGTGTTAATGTATTATCTTTACTGGATATCCTCTCACAGTGTATCCAGGTCTGAGTAATCTCAATGAACTTATACGTTGCCTAAAAGGTGGTTTTGTAATGATTTGTAGTCACATTTTTATTGGAATATGTAGAAGAAAAGGCAAAATGCTTAAAGTTCCTTTTATTTTTTAAAAGCAGCTAGATAGACACAGACTTTTGCCACCTCATACACGTGCTCCTCGGCAGCATCAAGGGGAATGGCCAACATGCCTATGGCTCAAAGTTTTACTTTGCAAACTCAAGCACTGCTTGGTGCTGCATTTTTATACCCTTCACAACATGTGTGATCTCCTGAAAGACAGACACATGTCCATGCGCCCTTTGTTTCCACCCATAGCAAATTACAACCATTGTTTTTTGTTTGTGTCTTATTGCATGAAGGGACATTAGACTCATTTCCATTAAAATAAGTTCTTGGTGACAACCTGTCGGCACTGCTACTTTTTTAAAAAATCCACTCTGTGATTTTATGATGGACATTGGTAAGGTGATTCTACAACAGGTCATTTACTAGAGTCCTAAGTCTGCCCTTTTCTTGTATGACACACTCATGTCCATAAGCATCGCAACACAAATTCAGGGTTTCACAGACAAGAAAAACATTTCCCTGGTATTAGCACAAGTTAACTAGTAAAACCGTTCGCTCTCTAGTTTGCCAGGCTTACCCTAATACCCAGCTAACAGGTGTGTTACATAGCCAGTAATATGACGTTTATTTCAGCTTCAGGGAAAAGATACCGCTCACACTGTATCAACGAGAGAACTCCCTGCCACCCAGAGCAGCTTGGTTATCCTGAAAGAACATTTGGTTTTGCTTTCTGCCCACTTTGCTGTTGACCACATTTACACAGTTAAATGTAATATGTTGTGAGAATAAACTTAGCTGCATAAAGTGTTTGGCTCATTTATCTGGCATCTCAGTCATATATATGCAGGGGTAGAGATACAACTTTAGTGTCTCCACGCTAGTCATTTTATTTTCAAATTATTCTTTCCTCAGATTAAAAATCATTTCAGTAATGTAAGATTCAGCTTTGATTAGCTATTGCATATTTCCAGCTGGTAAGAACTAGAAAGAACCTGGCATCAAAGAATGAAGACCAACCTGGCCAGGCGTGGCTCAGCGGCCGAGCATCGACCTAGGACCCAGGAGATCGCGGTTCAATTCCCGGTCAGGGCACGTCCCTGGGCTGCGGGCTCAATCCCCAGTGACTCTCTCATCATTAATGTTTCTCTCTCTCTCTCTCCCTCTCCTTTCCTCTCTCTGAAATCAATAAAGATATATTTTTTTAAAAAAAGAAAGAAAAGAATGAAGACACAGTTGTACAGGCACTAAATCCCTATCGGTTGAGTGACGTGGAAGAAGAAAAACAAAAGTTAAAGTATGTGCCCGTTCTCTGCTCATCTTGCATTTCCTCCGGTGGTTTATCTTTTACTTGTATCAAAGGCAGTTACTCCCAAGGAACAAAATTTCACTTTGGTTTCAAGTGTTACTAGGTGGTAAATTTAGATAAAAATCTGCATTTGCTAATGGAACACCAAAATACCAGTATTCTTTTAGATTTTTGCAACACCTTTCTCTAGGAAGCTCAAGAAAGAAAAATGCCAGTGTTGTCAATTCTCCTTCACTAGATTCTCAAATACTGTTTTTGTCCCAAGTACTTTTCTCTTTTAACTCCACCAAAGTAAATAATTATAATGTCCTCCTCAGAAGATTCTCAAGAAGAAAACTGCAGGCTTAATGAATGGTTTTTAGTTCAGAATCTCCATAGGCTTCTAATGAGAAAAATAATTTAGTGGCAGGTGCCTGTTATGAGAATCTGAACCTAAGTGGCTAAAATGACACAAAGTGAATCATGCTGCTCTAGCGATCAGAAAAATAGCCTGAGCTATTGCATAACAATGAGAGTTTTCTTAGAACTTACCACAAAAACCTCAGACCTGCTACTCTTGGACAATGGGGTACTTTTCAGCCTGGGGCAGGGGGAAGAGGGTAGGAAAGGGGTAAAAGATTCTCGGAATAAAACACCAGCTCTTTACCGAACAAAGTTCAATTCAGCTGCACCGGCCTCCAGAGGCATGGATACTCCAAGCCAGACAGCGGGGGAGTAAGAGGGTGAAACTGTAACTTCTAGAGCAAAGAAATAGATTGTTTTTGACTTCTGGGATTAGTAGAATAAGCTGAGCATTTAAAATATTTGTACATTTTAAGATTCATAATTAACATGAGAATTCTTGGTATTTAAAATATACGTCTGGTTCAAGTATAAAAAGTTGTTTCCTTTCTTCGCTGACACATTTTACTGATAAATGTAGACCTTCGGCTAAAATAAAAATTTATTACTACTAAAATGATATTCACCATTTTTTATCCTCACTTCAAGAAAATAAAAAATAGAACATTAGAGCTGAAACAGACCTAAAAATTCATTTGGAAGAGGGTAATATTCTACTAAAATCGTGCCCCCCAATTAAACATTAAGAAATTTGCATAACGCTCAGCACAACTGAATTCTGAAACAGAACCTTAAATTCAAACTTCATGAATGTGTCTCTCAACACTTTTTTGAACAACAGGATTTATAGTTGTAACTTACTCGATTTAATGTCAAGCAATTTATTTTACCATGATGAAAAAAAGAATCAACAGACCCAGAAATGATAATCATACCAATTCTTGGTAGACAATTGATGATACGTTCAAGATTAATTGGTTTTTAATATAATTAACAGTGCTATAATATATTTTCATTGTGCATCAGAAATGATTTACCAAAATTTGATTACTGTGTGCCATTTGAAATGACTCGTAGATTTCAATATTTGATCTTTGAATAGAATCAGAAATGTTATGGGTTTCTTCAACATTAGGTATCACTTACATTCAACAGTTTGCCTCTTGCTCAAAATCATTACTATTTAGATGGAAATTTGCTTACAGTCACTTTTTTTACAATAGCACTTGGCATAAGTAGAAGGGGGGGGCTGATTATGTTCGATCTGCTCAGGATCCTGGAAGCTCTTCCAGTGAGAAACAATTTTCACTCTAAGTGGACATCTGAACTACCCACACCTGGAACTTTGGAGCTTCCTGTTCTTCCTACTCATACCCAACCGCAGTCACATTACAAAACTCACATCATCCCCTGCTTAAACAATGTTTTGCTACTTAAGAAAAAAATGAACCTCGATAGTGACTGAAAATGTTAAACTATGACTGACTAGACACTGAAGAGCAATCATCTTAAGTCAGTGAGAGAGGGCCAGCATCTTTTCCACACCTGGGCTTCCTAATAAATTGCCTCACAAATTAAGTTTGGAGAAAAGCTTGTTAATAAGGCAGGAACACATGGTTGCAGCTTTCTTTTAAAGTAGTTGTCCTAAGCCCACACTGTAAGTTAATAAGGGTGAGACAAGTTCTAACAGCTGATACTGAGTCTACAGGTAGACATTCTAGAGCAGATCAGCACTGAGCTGTTGAAATCTCTGAATTTTGCTTTGCTTAACTGCCTACATTATTGTTTCTCACTTGTCTTAATTCTCTTGAAGGTAATATCACATTTAGAAGATACTAAGTAACCGAAAGGATGAGTATCTTGTGTAGGAATGTCTAACCTTCAGAGAAATATCAGACTTTGAAAAAAATCAACTGCTCTTGACCCCTGTAAAACAACCACACACACACAAGACAGTCAAAGCCATGGTCGACGATGTCTGAGTAGGGAGGAAGGTAAGTTTTCTTTAGGCTTCTCTCCTTTTCTGGATATTGATGATGTGGAAAGGTAGCCGGGCACAACAGTCTTGGGTGTAATCCAGCGATAGTAGAAATGGTAAGTTGGTATCTGAGGTCTGATTTCTTGGGGAGTTGAAAACGGGAACGCTACTGGAGGCAAAACAATCTCTACAGGTTTCAGTACAACCATCCTGCCTTCGGGGCGAGGTCTTACGAGGTTTGTGGGACGTTCACATGGCCTGGAGGCAGATGTGTTCTTCCTAAACGTGGGCACTAAGGGATTGGTGGCAGGCTTGCTGGGTTTTCTGACCTGTGAGGAAGAACCCACTTGAATTGTGCTTTTCTGTGTGAGAGAGGTTTTTGTTGTTGCTACCTGTGACCGATTAGCATTTGCATTAGTTTCTCTACTCAGGAACTCAGCAATTTTCATTTGAATGCCGTTACTATCAGTAGAGGGAGCTTTTGGCAACGAAGTTTTCGATCTTTTCTTCTTCTTGTCCCGTTTCGAAGATTTTCCCAGCTCAATCCCCTCCAGTAGGCCCTTCGATGCAGCGCGGGCCAGAACATCTTTCACAGACACTGTCTCAGATGGGTCCCGCTACAATAAAGAAGCAGGCACTAAATGTGGGAGTTAACTTAGTGTGTATATCACAAATATTTATCAGTGTTTCAGAAGAAGTAAAAGAGTATATTATTATACTAAAAGAAATGGTTTTTAGGCCTTAGCCCCTAATATATCCCATGAGCCTCAGCAAATGACTTTTTTGTAATTAAACTTACCCACTTATGAACCTGACGGTGGGGAAAAGAATTACAGAGCTTATTTCTAATGTGAAATAAGATGAACTAGATGTTGACAAAGTGCTTAGAGAAGTGGGGATGGAGAGCTCGCAAGGGAGGAACACTCAGAAGTATAAAGAGAAAAACAGGCTTTTTTTTCTGGCCACACAGTGATAATTATTAGTCCTGCCCTTTGGCTATTTATAAAATAAGCACACTGTTACAAAGCGCTCAAAAGTTCCTGAGGATTTGTTGTTTCCTTACCTCCCTTGTTAGAACAGAAAGAAAACAGCCATTGGTAATTTCAGATGGTTCCACTCTGAAAAATTTATCAGTAGACAAACGAATTTCCTTCAAGGAGCACAGCGGAAGGACAGGAGGGCTAAGCCTGCAGGGGACAAACAGTTACAGTTAGAGGGCGAGTCTGCCAGTGGAGGGAGACAGTGACTGCATGCAACACAGTTTCTTCTATTATGTTTTACCAATCATTTCAACATAAATTCCAAATTAGGATAAAATGCTGAAACTGTACAATACTACTATAATTTAAAACGTTAATATTTCATGTTAACTCATAATTTATTCTACTTCCCAAGTTCTCCATCTTTAAAAAAACTATGCCAAGAATACCAACCTTTCAGCAAATTAAAAACTCTTCCCCAAGACATTAATGTTAATAATAAAAAAAAAAAGGCTCCCGTGATCCAAACAGGTAAATATGTAGTAATCACAAAGGTGCAATCCAAAATACCCTTTACTTCCACATGTCAAACTACACAAAGTATGACTTCCTTCTTTTGGTTTTACTGTTTGCACAATTACAGCATAAAAATTTGGCGAGCATTTTAACTACACGATTCTTCCCAACAACTCTTTGAGTATTACTGGATGAATTATGTGGAGTTCAAGAAAGTACATAATAAAGCCTTCATATAAGAAATATAAAACTCAGTAATCACTAATATGTTTAAAATAAAATTTTGGTTTTTATATTTAGTATTTAATTTTCTACTTAATAGTGGTTCATTCATAAATAATAAATTCTTATATTTCCATACTTTTACAATTAAAATATATTTAATCAAAGTAATAAACACATTTTCACATAAATTAAAATATCAGGAACTCAATAATTTTGTATATTCTGAAATTTAAAACCTTTAAAAAATTTTTAATATGTTTTTATTGATTTCAGAGAGAGGAAGAAAGAGGAAGAGATAGATAGAAACATCAATGATGAGAGAGAATCATTGAATGGCTGCCTCCTGCACACCCCCTGCTGGGGATTGAGCCCAAAACCGGGGCATTTGCCCTGATTGGGAACCAGGATCTCTTGGATCACAGGTCAATGCTCAACAGCCGAGCTACACTGGCTGGGCAAAACCATCTAAAAGTTGTAGAACTAATCAGTTTACAATATAAAGAACCCCAAATAAGAACAATGAACCAAGTAGAGACAAAAGTACGTGGTAATACAGAATAAAGTGTGATCAGCTCTGGCCACGGGAGACAGCAAATATGAAGACTTCACAGAGGAAGCAGCCTCAGTGCTACATCTTGAAAAATAAGGTTTCCAATAAGGTAAAGAAGGTGATTCCAGCAGAAAGGAAAACATGAAAATGTTGGTTCAGAATACAGCCAGTGTTTCCATGTGTCTGGGGCATAAAGTGACTACACGGAGAGAGAGGTCACCTAGAATGTGAGCAAACACACATGACACGCCAAAGTGTCTAGCAAATGGTGGTGCTTCAGTAAATGCTTGTGCTGAACTGAGCTGAAGTAGAACAAAAGCTGTGTAAGTTCTAAAGGCAAGAGAGCTGGTGGCTCCTTTCACCAACCTTGTAACCAACACACTGCATTTCCGAGGCCTGTTCATATATGTTCCCTACACAAACAGAAACAATCATCAACAGAGTAGAATGGAGTTACAGACTCACACAGAAGTATATGCAGGATTATAGCATATAAAAACAGAGGCATTTAAAAAGAGTTGGGGATGGAGGGGGGAAGATTTGAGGGAGGGAATAAAGCATGATCCATACTTTACTCCTTTACCAAAATAAACAGCAGATAAATCAATTATTTAAACATAAAAATACTAAAGGAAAACTGGTTAAAAAATTTGTATAAGGTGGGGATCAATATAACACAAGCCATAAGGAAAAGATTGATACACTTGTCTACACAGAAACTTGAGGTTTCTCTAAAGCAATTTTTAATTAAAATTTTATTTACAAATATCTGTAGTTCATATGAAAACAGCTAATATCCCTAACATACAATGACAAGACACATAAAAAGAAGAAAAAGAAGAATGATACAGTTGAAAAGGTGGGAAAGAACATGAACAGGCTACATTTATTGAACATTTGTTATGTGCCAGGCACCGTTTGTGTGATAATATATTCAATCCCCACAAAAATCCACTGAGGTAGGTAAAAAATCCATGTTACAGCCACTTTTCCTTCCTCTCCTTCCACGGTACCCTTCTCCGCTTAACAAAAAAAAGGCACTTGCCTTGTTATAGTACATTGTCCTGGATGTTAAATCTCTAGGATGCTAAACAAAGGGACAACTCAAGAATGTGGCTCTCTTCTCCAATGTAAGAACAGAGTTTGGGTAAGAAAACCTTAAGAGTTTGCCAAACATTGGAAAGCTCTGTTCTTCAACTTCCTCCCCTCTGCCCTCTCTCTCCCCCTCCGTTCCTCCCCTCTGCTTCCCCTCCTTATTTCTACATATCTGTCTTAGATTAAAATTAGAAGTAACTCACGGGGGTATGTTAATGTGTTTATCTGAATTCAAAAATAAAGTCAGACTTTCTCTGACAAGGTCAATCTGCTTTTCACAATTCGTGCTCAATCCCCAGTAGGGGGCGTGCAGGAGGCAGCCGATCAATGACTTACCATCGATGTTTCTATCTCTCTCCCTCTCCCTTCCTCTATCTGAAATCAATAAAGGTACATTTTTTTAAAAAGACGTTATAAAAAATAAACGTATGATAAAAAATATTAGACATCAACTTTAAAACACATAAAAGGTTATATAGTTATTTTCAAATGTTTAGGGAGTATTCGAAAAAGTGTTTGTTCAAACATTGCAAAAATGTTTGAAGTCTACTACTCTGGAATCCTCAGTCTTATTTACCCCACAGTACACTTCCCAGTCAGTAAACAGCAAATGTGCCCAAATTCGTTAATAGAGAAGTGAAAATTTAATCAACAATGAGATCTCATCCTCACTCCTCAGACTGGTAAGGATTTAAAGTCTGATAAAACCCAGTATTTGTGAAGCTGTGGGGAAATGGGTTTATAAGATGTATATTTTGGTGGGTAATTTGACAATACCAATTAAAACTTACAATATGCACAACCTTCTCAAACTGTTCAGAATGGTTAAATGGTTAAGTGGGATTTGGAAAAACTTGTTCTTTTTAAGTTAGTATTTCTATAATGTTTGCCGTTTATACAATAGGGGCAGGCAAAAAAGTTGCATTGACATAGGTAAGTATCATGATGGCTAAAGTCCAAAGTGAGGCGAATATTTCTGGGATATTAGAAGGAAAAGTTAGAAACAGGCGATTGGATTAGATGGCATATAATATTGCTTTCAACTCTAAAGTCTATCACTTTGGCAGTTAAGAAATGATTCTTGCCCTGGCCAGTTTTGCTCAGTGCTTAGAGAGTTGGCCCATGGGCTGAAGGGCCCCGCATTCGATTCCAGCCAAGGGCACGTACCTCAGTTGCAGGCTTAATCCCTGGCCTTGGGGAGCATGCAGGAGGCAACCAGTCAATGTGNGGAGGAAGTTAACAGGGGGAATGGCTGCCAGCTGGTAAAAGCCCCCCTTGTGCAGGTGCTCAGCTGGGCAGGGCGTGCACTGCTCCTTCACCCCACATCTGGCAGGGAGCCCCATATCCACTCTTCAGACAGGGAACCTGGGGCCTGGAGAAGTTACAGCTGCAGTGTGACTCTGTCCCCTACCCTCCCATCAGGGGGTGGAGTCTGTTCCCCACCTTTGGGATCAGGCCACCTATGGCTTGCTTTGGCCAATACAATGAAGTGGAGGTGGTGGGGGCTAGTTCTGGAAGTACCTCTCTCTCTCTCTCTTCTCCCCTCCCTCTCCTCCCCCCTCTCCCTCTCCCTCTCTCTCTCTCTCCCTTCCACTCACTCTGAAAAAGCAATGGAAAAATATCCTTGGGTAAGGATTAAAAAAATGATTCTTAGAGGCCATATAGTGTGTTTCCTTAAGTAATTCATAATTTCTTTTGAAAGTATCCCCAACAAGTAATTATAAACCTCTTAAATATATGCACTTTAATTTGAGCTCAAATCCCAGATTATTCTGTCTTTATAATATGTCCTTAAATATTACCTGTGTATTTTATACCTTATCATAGATTAATAATAATAGCTTACCTGAAGTAAAATCTAGTGAAATAAAATACAGATGTTCCTCCATTTTTGCCATATTACATTCTTAGAAACCTTATTCCTGACAAATGATCATCCATATTGATGAATTTGGTTATATACCTGCAGTAATTCTCTTTGCAACTAGGTGGTGATTTAGCTAATCACTCAGAACATTAGGTTGGCTGCTAGCTACCAACAGGAGTTACTAAATAATGAAGTAAAATAAGGGAAATACAAGTGTGATTAACTTGTCCACTTGTGTGTGAATGGGCAAAGGAAAATATCAAATTAAAAGAAGGAAGCAAACCATATGTATATTAAGAACCTACTATAAGGATCAAAGGAAATGTTCAAAACATGAATAAGTAAAAATAGAAGGAAATATTTATAAATACCTTATTAATTGTTACAGACTTGAAGAACTAATTGGTGTCACAGAGACTTAAATCACCCAGCCGGTGTGGCTCAGTGGTTGAGCATCGACCCATGAACCAGGGGGTCACGGTTCGATTCCCGGTCAGGGCACTGCCCAGGTTGCGGGCTCGATCTCCAGTACAGGGTGTGCAGGAGGCAGCTAATCAGTGATTCTCTCTCATCACTGATGTTTCTCTCTCTTCCTCTCCCTTCCTCTCTGAAATCAACAAAAACTTCTTTTTAAAAAAAAAAAAGAGACCTAGATCTACTCATCTTGATGTCTATCTTGATGTTCAGTTGTAGTTTTGCTGTTTTCCTTCTCTATCCTCAGTTTACTGTAGCATTTTACCCAGAAGCTACTATACTAGTTATTTAGGCTACTTTTACCTCAGTCCTGCTGGTAACAAAGGCTATAAAGGGTCTAATAAATGTATGTTTTCAGATAATAAACACCCAATTTTCTCTCTAGTTTCTCAGGTTATTTTATATACTTATTTTTCTTCTGCTGAGGCATGGATGTATCTAATACTCGGGATATAAAGTTCAGACTCAATTTTTCCAGAAACCAATCAAGTCAAGGCCAAAATAGTTTAGCTTGAACAGTAACAACAGGAATCTAGTGTACAAGAGGGTGCTCAGACCAAGCCATTGTAAGGGCTCTACAGAACTGATGTAAATGTAGTAAGAAGGTGGGTGACGTGGGCATATTAAAATCTAACGAAAAGGAAGTGGGATGTCTTCATAAAACAGAAAATCATAATTTTTCACTTTCAAAAGTATTTGGTTAAATTGTTTAGAAGAATCCTGTCCTTTCTTACCTATAAGGTTGTACTTTGGTCCCACGGTCTTGAAATTCCAGTGCTTTCTTAACAACAGCTTCATTTTCTTCTGGATAAACTGAGCATGTGCAGTAAACAACAGCTTGAGCTTTAGTAACTATATTTGAAGAAGATGGAATTAATATAATGACCCCATTAACAATGCTAAACAAATATGCTATGTTTCCAAACATCTGTTTATATTGATACTGCACGGCTTTGACGTGAATGATTTCCATAGATGTTCGCATAGCTCCCCTTTACAGCATGTACTAGTTATGTAATCTGTGGCCAAAAAGTAAAGTGAATCGAACTGGATTGTATGGAAACTGAAAATTCAATCAATGTGACCAACCAAGTTACAAACACAAACAAATAAATACTGCCAATTACCATGAACTATTACTTGCAGCCATTCTTCCACAATCTGTAACACAAAACTAGTTAAAAGGACTCTAGAGACAGACATAGATGTGGATCTCAGTTCTGTTACTTATTGCTGTGTGAACCTGAGAAAATTACTGAAACGCTCAGATTTTTCTTCTTTAAAATGAGGTAATGCTACTACCTGCAACTCATTTATTCACACTTATCAAGCACCTACCGTGTGGTAGGCACTGTTCTAGCCATTTAAGATACACAGACAAAAATCCCTGGCTCTGGGGAGCTTATTTTCTGTTTTATTGACATGATAAGAATATATAGGAAAATTATAGTGTTGTTAGGAGGTGATAAATGCTATAGAGAAAAACAAAGCAGGTATGGAGAATGTCTAGTTTCAAGAGATACTGCTGTAATTTTTAATAGAGTAGTCAGAGAAAGCATCAAAAATTTATTTTCCAACTTCCTAATCTTCCAACCAACTTATTTCATAGATCATATACACAATTATCATGTTTAAATTGATGTTTGTTAGTAGCATCAAAAGGGCAGACCTACCCTCACAGACCTACCCTTTCCCCTGGATAATCAGCAACCCCGAAGCAGCAGAAGAGAGTAGCTTGGATCTAACTAATGGTCACATGGTATGGACCTTTGGCAGGCTAAAGAGAGCATCTCGACCTAAGTCATGTTTCATTTCCTGAGCCCTAAAGTAGAACCACCCTCTGGCTATTTTCCCATGAAATTGGACAGAGAGACACCAAAAAAGACCTCAGAGCTGCTGCACTCAAGACCTGAAGTAATTATTCTTTACCCTTACCTCTGACCAATCAGCTCCCAACATGACCCAAAACCCACGGTGTCAAGATTTTGCCACATGTCTGTCACCTATTCGTCATCTAAGGGTTTGTGCTTTTGAGCATTAGCTTCCCATTCTCCTGGATAGCACCATTTATCAAAAAAGTAGTCAATATTTCTCCACTGCAATTCTCAGTGTGTAGCATTTGGCTTTGCTAGTGCCGAGTGGACAAACTCTTTCTGTTCTCTAACACCTATACTTACCTTTGAGCCTTTGGAGGTCAGGAAGTGTTCACACTCATATCCCTAACACCCAGCTTAATGCCTGACCTAGAGATGATAAACATGCACTGAATTCATAAAAATGTTTATAATTTCTCAGACACTTTTAGATTTCCATGTCCATGTGTACTCAGAATCTAAATGGTACTCTAATCTAAATGCAGTGATTGAAGCAATAATATAAATACTTAAAGAGCCTTGTTACTCAGACTTCAAATGAACAGATCTAGGCTTCATCTGTAATTGTGTCTTTCTATTCTATATTTAGCAGTAAGAGAAATAAGAGTTTGATTAAAATTTGGATTGTAGAAGAGTTGTTAGGGGCAGGCACAGTGACAACAGAAAAATTACATCAAGTGAGAAGCCAAAGAAAAGAAATAGAGAAGATGAAACTGTACAATAATGGATGCACATACTTATTTCACTTCGGCATTAAGAAACTGTGAATTATGCTTGCTAACCTCTACTTAAAATGACAGTAAAGCATATATTTTTTAAAGACTTAAATTGGTAAAAATAAACATTTTGTTACTTGAAGGTGCTAAAACTGAGTGTACTGGGACATTCACTATGGTTCACACCACACTGCCTGATTATAATAGAGAAATGAAGTATTGATGTTTCTAAGATTTACAACACAGGTTAAGATTGAACTGATAAACTTACATTTCATTGCATGTGTTAGTTGTGCATATTGCTGTTGAGCAAGAACATGAAGTTTATCTTCTGATGTGCCTCCTTGTGAGAAATCTTTAAGCAAATCTGTATCTAAAAGTAAATAAATGCTTTAAATTATATCACCATTAGATGTTTTCCATATATTGTTATTATCACATTACTTTTTAAAAAATATATCTTTATTGATTTCAGAGAGAGGAAGGGAGAGGGAGAGAGAGAGATAGAAACATCAATGATGAGAGAGTCATTGATAGGCATGTTCCCTGACCGGGAATTGAACCCCGATCTCCTGGATCCTAGGTTGACGCTCATCCACTGAGCCACGCCCGGCTGGGCTATCACATTTATTTTATCATTTTCCTCTTAATGAGAGTTTTCATGGAAAATATAAAGACTAAATAGATAGTATTATAAAAATGCTGACTTAAATATCTAAAACTAAATTGACAAAGGTAATTTTCTTTAGTTTTAATATTGTTTTTCTTTTTTCTCCAAGCTCTTAGGAGATAGTCATTCAACTAGCCAAGTTATTTAGGTACAGAAAAGAGAATGAAATCAGTCTAGAGACTAACAGAGGAAAAGAGAAGATAAATTTATTTTCCAAGGTAGAAATGATGGCCTATAGTCTAATCTGAGTAGGAAAGGACACAAACAAATACAATTTTGAAAATTAACTTACCAAAAGAAATTTTGGAAGGAAAAAAATCAGGGAAGCAAATGTATGTCTTCATAATAGATCAAGAAACTCTTAGAGTATCATTTTAATTTCTGAAACTAATTTTAACATATTTCTTGATATTATTAACTTAGATATATTAAATGCTACTTTATATAGATTATTTTATTCAACAACCCTTTTAACATTGAGAAAGCTCTTTAAACATACATTAAACAACTTGTCCAAGGTCACACAGCCACTGTATGGAGCCAGGATTCTAGCTCTGAAACCTGACCACAGAGCCTAAGTTTCTAACCTCTGTCTTCTCTCGGTAGCTCCCTGGACTATAAGAGCCAATTATTTTACCCCAGATTGGGCTGTTCCCCATTCCAGTAATATCGCCGAAGGCTAATTAAACTCCATTTCTTTTCAATTTAGTCTTATACTTCATATTTTTCTACCTCTATTCTAAAGTTATTCATCACTTTTTAAAGGACTACTTATACATCATTATACTTGAAAACCATATTGATTACCCTTTTCATCCCATTTTAAGATAATTCCAAGTTGTTAGCAATGACCAACTTCATATAGTCTTTGATGGTTCTAATAGTTTTCAATGTTAAAGTGTGTTTCAAAATAAGCTCATGATGGTTCTCTTCCACCTAGTATCTAAGTCTGATAAAACAATCTTTTAGATTCAGCCCCTACATTCATGGCTCCTGTTTCTACCATAGTCATCAGGTCGGAAGCTCCTTATTTGCTCTGGCTGTTATCTCCTCAGAGTACAGTTTCCTTCAGAAGCCCTCATTTTTTTCCAGGTTTGCCAAAGACCACTTGTTGGCTTAGCCTGTCGCCTCAGAACTTTACCAATACCTAGGAAACATTTTCCTTTCTCCCTTTCTCATCATTTGTAGTTTCCTGTGGGCTGCTCCCCCAGCCTCTAGCTTATTTGCACCCAGGGCCTATTTAGCTCTGCATTCCCGCTCTAAGAGGGCCAACAGTAAGGCCAAAGTCTCACTCTCTGAGCTCTGCTTCTCCTGCCTGCGATGCTTATCACAGCTGCTACTCCTTCCCTTCTTCTTTCAGTGTCTACTAATTCCTCTCTGACCAGTTCCCAAGTGAGTGTAGGCATTTCCCCAGCCTGCTATTCTCCCACATAAGTTAGTCATTCTCCTGTTTAACTCCCACTGAGAGCCACTGTCTACAGCAGGTCAATATTCCACACGGGACAGGGTAAGTCCAGATAAAGATAGTATAGTTAATGGAAAGAAAATGTGCGAACTGACTTGAGTGTAAATCCCAGCTTCCCTACTCACTAGATACATAACCTTAGGCAGCTTGCTAAATTTCTCTGAGTCTTGGATTTTTCCCCTCTGTAAAATAGAGATAATAACACTATCCTCAAAAAGTTACTGTGAATATTAAGAGATAGTACATGTGTACTACCATTGACTGGGACAGTTTTGCTCAATGAATATTAGTTCCTTTCCCTCTGTTTCTTTTTCTCCATTTTTAATTGTGTCCTTGCTAGAAACAGAGAAGTTACTCACCATGTTCTGAACATTAGTGGAATGTCTTCTTTGTCTAATATTCTAGTTAACCTTATCTATGCCTTTCAATATAAACAAGGGACTAGAGGAACGGTCTGTTTCAGTTAATGCGGGGCCATATACTGTGATTAAGAGAGGGATTCAAAGTGCCATGGAGTCAGAGTGGCTGTGTTTGAATCCGGGCTCTGACACTTACTAGTCAGTTGACTCTGGGGGACTGCAAACTCTAAGCCTCAGGTTCTGCATTTGTAGGATGGAGATAATAAGAATAACTACTTTAAATTCTGTGAGGATTTGGTGAAATAATCCAAGTGCTTATTAGCTCAGTGCCTTATATAGAAGTGCCCAATAAATGTTAATGTTAAATGATATTTTGAAATTATTAAATAAGCAAATAAAATTCCTAGAATTACTATTTATTATGAATATTCATAGCATAAAACATACATGTTAAGGATGTCTTGAGTTTGAAATAGCCCGATTATAATTTAATTAGGGGTGTTTTTAGAATGTAGGTCCTAGAATCCGGCAACTCTAAATTTGAATCCTAGTTCTGCTACTAACTAGCTGTGAGACCTTATGAAAGTGAATTAATCTTTCTGAGTCTCAGTTTTCTCATCTACAAAATGCTGATGGATTGTAATGCCTATAACTTGAGCTCTGCAATATGCCAGAATAGCACACTGGCCAGCATCTGTTCTGATTGCCAATGCCATCTCAATTATTAAATATTTTTAATATCACCCTTGCCCATATCTCACAGGGTTGGCTTAAGGATTAAATGAGGTGATGAATATCAAGTACATTATACATAATATTTCATACATGGAAGCTGTTCATTAAGCAGATATATCTGATACATCATTTCAATGATTTTAAATAATTTTATTTTTAAATTATTACCAATAAATTCTAATAATTTAGAATTTAAAAATTAAAACAAGTACCTTCATGCTCAATTAAAATAAATTCTACTGGATTACTAATACCCAGTCCTGAACAACGAGGAAGCAGCAGAATCACTTTAACTTTCTGTAATCTATTATCCTTCAATTCAATGTTCAGAAATGTCTCATGAAGTATTTCAATGTCTGGGAGAAAAAATACAGAAAAGTTAATGTAAAATATTAATTAAAAGTTCTAATGCAGTATGTAAATACACCTATGTATCATTGTTCATTTTTAAATCTTCACCACCACAAAAAGTCATTGTAGTCAGAAAAGAGGAATTTTCTTCTCTGATAACTTTCCAGAATATGAATTCTCGTAGGGTTTTCTCTTCACTTGAGAGAGGGGTTTGAAGTTTAAATAGCTTCCTCATAAAACATAATTAAGTTTTCCATTCTCAACTTCAGATTCCATTTAAAGCAGAATGCTGTAGTGGAGAGAAATGGCTTTGGAGGCAGAAATACCCAAATTTGACTCCGGATTTTAACCACTTACTAGCTGTGCGACTTAATCTCCCGAAGCCTCCATTTCCTTACTCATAAATGGGATAACACTGGCTCCCTCATCTAACCGTGGTGAGGACTGAGATAAGCTAGTTCAGCTTCGTACGCTGCCTTGTGTACACTGAGTGCTCTGTAATGGTGATTTCCCTGCCACATTTTTAAATCCCCTATTACATTCTATCTTCCCAGAAAAAAAAATAGGTATCAGTACTATTTCCAAGGCACAGTTAAGGTCCCTTAGGGACCCTGAAATTTGGTTTGAGAGTCTGCCCTCCTTCAGTTTATAACCCTCTGTGCCCCAATCTTAAGGCCACCCCTCCAGTTCTGCGATGGCTCACGGTCCCCTCACCTGCTGAGGGGTCACTCCTGAAATTGCCCTAACCACCCTTTCCTCTTGCCTGATCAACTTTTCCCTCTTCCTATTCTGTTTCTTTTGAAATTATCTTTTTAATCAGGTAGGCCTTTTGTTTTACCCCCTATTTTAAATTATTGGAAAAGTTGAAACATATACAAAAATAGCCATACTATATAACAAATTCTCAAGTATTCACCATGGGCTGTAACAGTGAACCATCCACGCCCAATCCTGTTTCATCTACATCTGCACCCACTTCCACCACCCCATATAACTTTGAATCTATAAATATTTCACCATATATCTCTAAAAGATGAGAACTCCTTTTAAAATATAACCACAAAAAATTTTTAAATAATTCCTAATTATCATCAAATAATAATGATACTGATTCATGGCTCAAATTTCCCAATAGTCACACATGTCGAAAATTTCTTATAGTTTGTTTAAATTGATACGTCTTATTTTAAATTACTTTTTACCTAAAGGTTCCCTTTCCATATTTCTTACCATTTATTTCTTAATGAAACTTCATTATTTGTACTACTAGAGTTTCCCACAGTCTGGATTTTGCTAATTGCTTCCCTGGAGTGTAGTTTCACATGTTCCCGTCTTTTGTGCTTCCCATAAATTAGTAGTCGGATCTTTAGAAGCTTAATTAGATTAGGTTCTGTTTTGTCTTTTTTTTTTTTCTGGTGGGGGGCTGGCAAAACTACTTCACAAGTGGCGTCATATTCATCCACTAAATTGCCTTTGTAGTATCAGCAAAGGGATTACAAAACAGTCATATGGTGGTCCCCCCTTAGCCATAGTTTTACTTTCCATGGTTTCAGTTACCTGCGGTCAACCATGGTTTGAAAATATTAAATTTCCACAGCCATCATCTTCAGCTGCTCCTGCCATCCAACCATTGACATTGCCATGGCCGAATGCTTCAGGATCACCCTCAGCAGATGACCCTCCTTCTGACATATTGCCGGAAGGTCAACAGTAGCCTAACACTGTGTCACCACGCCTGTGTCATTCACCTCACTTCACCTCATTGTGCAGGTATCTTACCATCTCACATCTCATCATAACAAGAAGGGCAAATACACTTCAATAAGATATTCTGAGGGAAAGAGGGAGACCACATTCACATAACTTTTATTATAGTATATTGTCATAATTGCTCTATTTTTACTGTTGTTAATCTCTTACTGTGCTTAGTTTATAAGTTAAATTTGATCATAGTATGAGTGCATAGGAAAAGCATAATATATACCATAGGGTTCGGTACCAAATGTGTTTTGAGGCACCTGCTGTATCCCCTGCGGATGAAGGGGGACCACCGCATTCTGATCCTATCATCCCGTTTTCATTGTTATCTGGAGCTTTCTAAAAGGAGAAACCGCCTTTCCTCTATGCGTGGTTACCCCATCATTCCTGTTCTCCCTTGTTAACTAGGGAAAAGGTGGTCAACTACTTGAAAACTCTGTCTACAGAGGTGACAACTACGGAGTAGCCACTACGTGCTACGGCTGAGAAGCACGATCGAGGACCTTAGTCAGCCGAGGTGGGGTGGGGGGTTGCAAGGCTGAGATCTCTGAGAAGAGGGCACGGCTAACACTGCCAGGACCCTGGCATGGCCACCACGGGGATAAACACACACTGGAAGAAGAAGAGAAGTCCTTTCTTCCTCTTCCGGTTGTGCAGTTTCCTTCCAGCACCTTCTAATGGCAGAGCCTAATACTGAACCAGCTGGCGAAGGAGAAATGGAGCATACAGGGTCTCCTCCAGTATCACAAAGCAGGGCCGAGGGTGGGTTTGCAGGGGAGGCAATCAAGTTGTACCGGGTCAGCTTCTGACCTGTTTTTAAAATTCTTATCCCATTTCTCTCGTGTATTCTCTGCTGGACCCTCTTGTTCGACTTCCCGACATCTAAGTATCAGAGGGAACATATTCAACTTCAGTGACTGACTCGTTTCCAAAGCGGCTGTACAGATTTACCGTCCCACCAACAGTGCCTGAGTGTTCCCGATGGCCTTTACCTTGTCAATACATGGCACTACCGGCGGTTTATTTTAATGATTCTGTGGATGTGTGGTGGCAGGTTGTGATTTTATTGCTTTGCCCTCGCTGCTAACGAGGTGGGGTACTTTTACCTAAGCTTTTTTCGGGCACCTGGATGTCCTCTTTGGAAAATGCCTACTTATGTCTTGCCTGTTTTCCAACTGGGTTGTCTGTCTTATTTTTTGTTCATCTTTAAGAATTCCTTATATACTGTGGTTAAAACTCTTCGTCAGTTGGTATGTCCCCTCTCCACACTTTGCCTTTGCATTCTCTTAATGCACAGTTTTGTTTTAATTTATGATAGTACAGTTTACCAATCTTTTCTTTTATAGTTAGTGCTTTATGTGTCCTGATTAAGAAATCTTCACCAACTCCCGGTCACAAAGTGTTTCTCCTATAATAAATTCTAGGAGATTGTAGATTTGTGTATGTGGTGTGAAATAAGGGTCAGTTTCATTTTTCCCAGCACCATTTATTGAAAAGGCCATCTCTTCCTTAATACTCTGCTGTGTTGAGTATATGACTTTTGCTGCACATATAGTATGAATGTTAAATTTTATCAGATCTCCATTCTGCAAATTCATCTAAGGTGATTATATGATAGATGCAGAGGTGATCATATAAGGTTATTATATGATTTTTCTCCTTCTATTAATGAGGTGATTATATAAATTGATTTTTAAGAATTAAATCAACTTTGCACTCATAGATTAAATCGTTTATTTATAATGTATTGTGATTCTTATATATTATGAAATTATGTTTCCTAATACCTTATTTACAATATTTGTTTTCTAATATTTATTTTTTACAACCCTGCTCACGTGTGACATTAGCCTGTAATTTTCCCTCCTTTAATGTACTTTTCAGATTTGATATTAAGGTTGTAAAACAAATTGGGAAGTTGTCCCTCTCTGTTCTCTGAAAGAGTATTAATTCTTCCTTTAGGACTGAAGTTTTTCTTTGTGTTTTTTTGTTTGTTTGTTTTTTGCTTAGTGGGTGGGAGAGATTGTCAAATGTGAATTCAAAAGGCATTAATATTCACTAATTTTAAGATCTCGATACAAAAGTATTCAGATTTTACCAAAAGTTGTATTAAGTTTTGGTAAATTGTGTTGTCCCAGGAATATGCTCATGTTGTTTAAATGTTCAAGTTTTTGGCATTAAATTGCTCATAGTATCTTTTTATTATGTTTTAACTGTCTCTAGGATCTGTAGCGATTTTGGTCAGATGGCTATCCAGTTGTCCCAGCACCATTTTGTTGTTCCCGTTTCACTGAGTAGTTTTACAGTTGTGAGTACATGAAACACAGTTTACTCTTGCATTATTATTTATGATTTGTATTATTTATTTGTGTTACAACTGTGTCTCATGTGTGTTTTATGATCTCTTCCATATTATTCACGCTTTTGTCTTCCCATGCTCCAGTTTGGGTGTTTTCTTCTGGCTTATCAGTTCACTTATTCTTTCTTTAGCTCTAATTTATCAATTTCTTAATTTCACATATTGTATTTTTCAGTTCTAGAATTTTCTTCTGACTTTTTAAAAATTGTTTCCAGTTCTCTGCTTAAATTCTACAACTTGGAATTTAGTTTCATGAGCATATTAATCGTAGTTATTCTGAAGTCCACATCTGATATCTCCAGTATTTTGGACACTCTGCGGGCTTGCTTCTATTATAGTGTTTTTTCTCTTTATTTCAGCTATATCTTTTCTTCTTGTTTGTGTGGGTAGTTTTTTTGTTTTTTTAATTTAGTGCCAGACATTGCATATGAAACAATTTAGGAGATAATATGAAATCTAGGATGATGTTATTTTCTTCCAGAGGGAATTTACTTTTGCTTCAGGTAGGCAGCTAAGCTTGAGCACTAGCAATCCCAGGTCACCTTAATCCAACTGCTAATTGAGATGATTCACATTTGGGCTTCAATTCACTGGAGAACTGATCATTACCCAGGATATACTTCTTTTGTGCTCCAAATGAAACCCTGGTTGTTTACCAATCTATCTTTCTGGGTCAAGTCCTGAATTCTACTTTTTCTCTCCCTAGCCCTGTGAACCTGTCAAAGGTTTTTCTTAGTTTTTAGCCTCATTGAGCCTATAATAAAATGTTATTTTTAGTCCTAGCATGATCCAGTGAAAAACTTTTTAAAAATAAGAAACCTAATCTTCTAGTCCTAGATATTATCTCTGTCCCTTAAGCACTCCTATGGTTGTGCTCTTATTTATTAAAAGATGATCATTTCTATCACTCACTTTAACTAATTATTGTTTAAAACTAAAATTAAATGGTGGCTAAATGTCAAGCAATATACCAAAGTGCCAGTATGTTCATTAATTTAAACTGTAGTTGTTTAACCAATATTAAGCAATAAGAACAGACTGATATAGTATGAATTAGTAAGGATTTTAAGAGTACAGTTCATATAGAGTCTTTACATTAAAAAGAACAAATTCAAACATTTTAATATTTCTGAATCTTTTAATATTTATTTTCTATTTTTACTTGTTGATTTGAGAGAGAGGAAGGAAGAGAGAGAAACATCAATTTTGATGTTCCACCCATCCATGTATTCATTGGTTGCCTCTTGTATATGCCCTGACCAGGGACCAACTGCAACCTTAGTGTATCAGGATGGCACTCCAACCAACTGAGCTACCCAGTCAGGGCTCTAAATCTTTTATAATATTAGTTATCAAACAAATAAATATTGGTACTTACTTTTACATCCCATTTTTGTGAAAAGGTTCTTCAGGTCAGGATGCTTAGCTTGTGACTGTACTCCACACACAAATATTTTTGAGGTATTATTATTTGTTAAGATTGACATATGGGCAACTGTGTACCATGAACCTGTATTGACCATTAAGATATCATCATCCACATTTAATAAAGCCTTTACAGAATGGACAGCAAGACTTCGAGATTTGTCCTGCAAGATACGGTATGATTAGAATTTCAAACAGTTTAACTAGAAGCAGGAACTGACTTCTTTTTGCCTTAGGTAAAAGAAAGTACTTGGTAGGAATCTTGAACAAATACCTAACCCATTTTATTTTAAAACATCTTATATGATAAAATACAAAGTTAACAAAGGTAACTGATATAAACGGATTTAAAACAAAGACATTTGTTTAGCTTAAATTATGACTGTTATCATTTAAATTTTATGTAGTGATAAAGTAATGCCCAAATCCCCAAAATGTGATTAATAGATTAGTGATGTCCTGCCTTAGCTCCCCTTCCTATGTATTCATGAAAAACCATTCATCTGCTCCCT